AACTAATACTGCTCATATCTGAATGGACATTGCATCAATGTATTCAACTGATGTTGCCCATATGCTATAGCAGACAACTTTGTTTTGGCTGCATCTTCATGTAACAACATTCTTGCGTAACAATGATATTGCAATGGACCTGTACGAACCCGGAAATGGATCTAATGGGATAAACACTCTTTCAGTAAGCGCAAGTTCTAGGGAAGAAGAGTTAAGGGAGGAGCTATAGAATAGAGAGAGAAAGGAGAGGACTATTTTAATCAACATATTCTCTAGTGGCAAGCGGCTTACAGCCTTAATTATATACATATATATAGGCTAGAAACATAACCAACTAGTTACTTAATTCTGTTACCGAACCATTTATGTAAGTGGAATAATTATTCTTAGAGGTGTATCAGATGTGTTCAAGCACAAGCTATGAATTTTGGAATTGTTACTTGTGAATTAAGAGCGAAAAGTGAAATTGCTAGCTCTAAATTTTTAGGCGTGACATCCTGACAATGAGAATCATAATATTCTGAAGAAGAATTATATGCTTAATGCAACAAATTTTTTTATTCTTGTGCTGATTCGGCATAATTTCTTCTCTTGCAGTTACAGCCACTTGTTCCAGTTCATCAATTTGATAAGCTTCCGAGTTATTTCATTTTTGCTGGCCTTGTCTTCATTCCACTAACCCATCCCTATCTTCATGAGTATGGAGAAGAGTGGTATAATACGTCACCTCGTCGATTGTGTGAACGAGCATTTAGGGAAGTGGCCCAGAAAGCCGGTCAACAACTCGTTATTCTCTCTCAGGTATTAATGAAGTTTCTCCTGCAATTCTTGAGTTCAAGTTTCAGCCCTTGTCCCCTATTACAAATCCTTAAATTCAAGCAGATCGACTTTCATTATATTTTTGTAGAACACTCAAGTCTGTATTACCTTGATCGCAGTATTAAGTCTCTGTCCTTGTAGTTAATCAAAGGTCGAGCGTTTGAGTCTCTGTGATTATCCCTGCTAACTCAACACAGACTGCAATGTGAAATTTAATTTGAGGCTTTTAAAACACCATATTTCAGCCGATCAACACAGACAGCAAATGAAATTTGAGACTTTTACGGCACGATATTTCAGCTGATCAAAGCATCAAGTATTTGTCTCATTGTATGTTAATTAACATTCTGGATGTGATTCAGGTATTAATGGACGACATCAATACTGGATATGAACGCCTTACGGAATTGCAGGTATTTTCCAACTGCCAGAAGCATCTATGTCTTTTATAAACATTTAACTAAGCCATGGAGATTATGTTTGCTATTATTGGTTATATACCTTTATTATTAGTGAGTTTCAGAATATTCATTTAGTTGTGTATGCTTGTTATTCGACTTTAAGTTTCTCTATTGTTTTCGCTATAAACTTTGTGGGCATTGATTTCCTCGACAAGGTACAAGCAGCTGCTGTTTTGGACGTTGGGGATGAAATAGATGCTCCTTTTGAGTTAAACCCAATTACAAACAGACTCAGAGGTTTCTCCAAAATTGTTAATGCTCCTTGACGTGTGGTTTTACTTTACGAACTTCGCTAGCATCTGTCAAAGGGCTAGCTATAAGTTGCCTGCAAAGTTGAAACAGATACTGTATCACCTCTTAGTCATCTTTAGCTGTATAAGTTAATTAATTAAATCTAGCAGGGACACAATATTAAACAACCAGAATAAAGTTTTATTTCCAATCTGGTGTTCTCTTGCATTCAAATTATGAGTTCAATTCTCAAAATTTTGAAAACCAGAAACCATAATAATGCATATTAGCTAAAATAGAGAGCATGATGAGACTGAGATCCCAGAACGAGGTAGCTATTTTAGCTGTTGCAATTTGGCTAAATTAACTAAAATTTATGGGATGCATTTGGAGTTTCTGAAATAGATTGATTACGAACGTTGCGAATATTGCATAAAATGCATACGTAAAACTTCACGGGAGTATTTGTATATCTTAACTTTTATGGAGTTTCTCTGTTAAGTTAAAGCAAGGATTTTACAAATGTTGCGTAGAACTTATGTAAGTTGTGTCCAGTAAATAATCGTGTTGTATTGCAGGTGAAGAAGGTGAATGGTACGGAAGTCGACAACTTAAAACATTTGCGACAACTTGTGGAAGAGAATCACATTGGGAATGTGAGGTTCGATTTGGATGATGGGAAGGTGATTGTTTTGGACTATGATTCGGCAAAGGTGGCCACGTCCCGGATACTAAAACGCCATAGGATACTTTCTGCAATGTCAAGTGACCTCGACGACGAACAAAATGCGCAGGATGTTGAGCTTGCTTGTTCAAATTGAGATTTTTCTAGTTTTGATTGAAGTTAATTATTCAGATTTTTTTTTTTTTTTAAATTTATTTAAATCATTTTGAAAGGACAGCGAGCGATATATATTTGTTAGGTGAATCGTCTCCAGTGGTTGTATGTAGAACTTCTAAGCATGTTTTTATTTATTACTCCAGGAATGCTTGCTATTTTTTTTTTATTCTAATTCTTTAGGATCCCCTGCTGCACTTTAGAGTTAATATTTTCTTTTTGGGTTTAGGTATGATATAATTGATGCACTCTGAACCTCACCTTCCTGCTTCTTAAAAGATATGCACAACCTTTTCTCCTTGTAGGAAAGGTCTCATTCCATAGCCCATTTTTGTCCTACTAGCTCGAGTATAATTAAGTCATTTGAGGATTCTAACTTGAGCCGAGCTGGTTCGTATCCCGACCTCTAATCGAGCTCTGAATACATTAACCCGAGCTATGATTGTTCTTACTCAAGTCGAAACATCTAGGCCTCTGGTCCTACTTGAAGAACGACACCAGAAGACGTGGATGTATTGGTTTAATAAGAGGGAAAAACAATCAAGAGAAGATCTTCATAATGAAAAATTTAGCAACAAGGAGATAAGCTGTCAATTCAAGAACGCAATCAATCCTCGTCTACATACATTTCTCTTGGTGAAATGAACATGACCGTGTTCATATTCTAAATACACAATGCTTCTAATATCTTTAATTATACAGATAATAAGAAGGTTTGATGCTGCTATCCACATTTTTTTCCCCTTTTCTCTTGGATGTACAAAATTATCTCCATCGAATTTCTCCGATCATTCTTGGACCTCATCGTCCGATTCCACAGGTTTCCATTTCACATCCTCCCATTGCCCGTACATATAGAATTCTTGTTTCTCGTTAACTAGAGCTAACACGACTATCAAATAGACATTCTGTCATTTTTTTTTTCTTTACAAGATTCCATGAAAAAGAGAATAGAATACATAGGAAATTCTCCTTATTACTTTTTCTAGAATACGCTCATGCATTAGCATTTTCAAACTCCTCACCATCCGAACTATCATCATAGGTGAAACTTTGGTGTTTATCATTTTTGGTTGTGTATTCGGGCTTTGATGATAGCATGGAAACAAGGGCCGGGGGAATGGGCTCGTCGGGTTGGGCCGTTGAGA